GGATGGAAAAACCATTTTGCTTTTTTGGTTGATTTTAAATCATGTATTCCATTTTCATGGTCGATAAAAGTAATTCTTATTTTCGCATTTATTTTTGTTTAATATTGTGAATATATAATAATAGAATTGTATCAAAATGCTTTATACAAAGCTTATATTTTTCTTTGAGTTTATATGTATGTATGTATTTAATATTCGTTATTTAATTATGACATCATAGATTGACCCATTTGACCTAGAATGTTAGATCATTGACCTACCTACCATCTAGATATRGAAATGGTTTCATTTTCAAAYTGRTTTWAAWTTTGCATTTCATTTATATCATTGATAAAATAATTATTATTTATCATATTTATTTTTTTTTATATTATTAGTATATACTATTATAGATGTGCCCAAAATTGTTTCATATTTTGTTGTACTATTATATTTTAAAAAAATAATTTTTAATTATACATCATGGGTTAACCTATTTGACCTGAAAGGTTGAACCACTAACCCACCCCCTAGGTAGGAAGATGACTTAATTTTCCATCGGGTTTAAGTTGTATATTTGATGTCCATCATTAATAAAATTGTATATTTTATCATATTTATTTTTTAATATGACAAATATATAAGAATAGAAAGCGCGTCAATTTTTCTCAAAATTTCTTTTTTTCTCTATATTTTTTGTATTTCTTATATTTCTAAATTTGTATTATTTATTTATGACAACATCAAATTATCCATTTGACCCAAATGGTTTAAGTACTTACCCATGACCTATCTAGATGGAAAACATGATTTCATTTCTAGGTTTATTTTAAAATATAAAATTTCATTATATTAATAATTATTGTGTATGGATTTATTAGTGGAATTTAATGATGATAAACAAAAGTATAAATGTTGGATTTAATGAGAGAGAATGTGATTTATTTAATGGCTTAAATGTGAGGATTAATGAGAGGTAATTGAATGTACTTAATGGAATTCTTTTAATTACATTTTCTGCCCTTTCAATGGAGATGAACTAAATTCAAGAGGAAGGGTATTTTAGTAAAGAAAAATTCAGAAGCCAATACCTCCCCATTCACACTTTTATAAGTAGTATAGATATCACATATTTGTCATATTAAACAAAAAGTAAGTGTAAAATATCAGAATTAGTTTTACACACAAAAATACAAAAAACTATAGTAAAAATTGAACACATCTATAATTCTAATTTACACTACTATGAAAAATATGAATAAGATTGTGGAATTTACTTTTGACTAAAATATTCATTTTTGAATTTAGTCCCTATTTAATTGTGATTTTTAATTTGCAATTGAACTACTATTTTTTACCACATTCAACTCACTCTATTTAAATCTTACATTTTTTTTGATAAATGAACAAAAAAAATGATACACACACAAAAAAAAAACATTACAAAATGATGAATCTAGCCAAGTAGTTGGGGTGCAAATAGATCTCTTTTTGTCGAATTCAGAAATCCACAGTCCAGAACTTTGAATCGGATCGGGTTGGATAATAGGATCCGATCAAAAACTGGATTGAATTCGGATCACTCCCTATTCGATTCGATATATATATATATATATATATGTTATTTATTTATTTATAAATATATTATTTATATTGCATTTAAATTTGTTATATTATTTATTTTTTTTGATAAATGATGAAAATAGTTGAAAGATACTTGTTTTTTTTGTTTTTGTTTATTTAAATTGTTATATTTTAATTTTTTAATATCTTATTAATTTTTAAATTAATTTGGAACAGATCAGATCCAAATATCTAACTTCCTCATTGGATTCGTATTTAAATCCATGTTTACGAGATGCGATCAGATCTGCCGTTAATGGTATTGGATCAAATTTGGATATACCATGATTTGAATCCGATTCTATCCGTTTGCATCCCTATCAAGCAGGTAAGCTTGTCAATGATATTTGAAATTTCGCAATTCAATCCGATTATCACATATTTGGATGAGGTGTTTATGTAATTAGATTTGGATTTTGCAATATACATTCGATTAATAATAAAAAATATAAAATATAAAAACAAAAAAAAACTATAAAAAATTTTGGATATATTATTACTATCATTATCACCATCTAGATCATTGTCATGTGCAAAGCATGTGCATGCTTACTAGAATTGATAAATAACAGGATATAATTCATTGAAAGCCACCATATACAGATTACATGTTATAAACCGGTCCTAGGCATCCTCACTCTAAGCAATCCTTTCCAACCCCAACCTTAGACAAAGAATCAGCCAGCATGTTGGCACTCCGAGTCCTAGACACCCACTCAAATGAGATGTTTAAGGCAACACTTAAAGAATATTTAGATAACAATTGATGGGGTTAGTAGAATCCTCTAACCTTCATTATCCATGCTTTTTAATCATACTTCTGAAGACAAATTTGGATAAAAGACAAATACAATGCTTGATGGGTTTTTTCTTTCACTTAAGTTTAGTTTGAAAGTAGTACAAATACAAATATGTAGAATACAAAACCTTGTATTTTGTATACATTTGCACTGTACATATTGTATTTGTACTTGATGTAGCACAATCTGGGAACTCCTAGCTGGTTGAGGGTTGGCTCCTAGCTGTGATGGACGGCACCTGAGAGGAAGAAGAAGGTGAAGGGTTCTCGGGGAGCTCTCCCGGAGGGAACATTCCGATGGCTAAGTTAGAACTTTGGGGAAAACTCAAAGAAGATATAGAGAGTTAAGAGTGCTGAAAGTGCTAGCTTCAATACCTTTGATTCGTGAGGGTTGGGGTCCTTTTATACCAGAGCTCGGTCACATCAGGCGTAACCGCCATTGCCCTAGCCGTTACCGCTAGGGTAGGGGTGGCAGGTGTAGGCTGCTACTACAGGCTGCTACTGCAAGGTACGGACTCGACAGGCATGCCATGCTTTTCAGAGATGGTAGGCAGAACGTCGCCTGGCAAGGGATCTGAGCACTGCTGCCGGATCCGGTAGGTACGGACGTTAGGCAGGTACGAATGTCAGGCAGATCTCCCCGCAGTCTGCCGAGCCACCGTACTTCGAACCACATGGGGTAGATTTGCCTTGCACCGAGGTACTCGCACTGGAGGCGGGCCTTAAGCGAGTTCGAACAGGAGTCTCGATAGTGCTGCCCCGAGGTGTTTCTCCCTCGGGACACTTAGCCAAAAGCCGGGGTGCTCCCTTCTTAGGACGGGAGAGCTCGGGGCCCCTTAGGAGGACCTCGGGTCTCAAGGGGAGCTCGGGGAGCTCCGCCTTCAGGCTTGGGGCGAACTGGGCCTTGCTTCTCGGCGGGTGACCCGTCGAGTCGTTTGGTCAGGCTTCGGCGAGCTTGTTACGCCGGGTTGTGGACAGGCTGTCACGCTGAATTATCGCTTCTGCCAGGTCATGTCCACGTGTTCCCGTACTACGAGGTCGGGCCAAATCTCCCTACATCAATACTCTTTCCAAAATGAGCCTTAGGTTATATTTTTTTGCTCTTTTAAGATGCAATCTGTTTTTGTTGATTAAGGGGGCATGTGTTTGAATGAATGGTTGAAGTGGTGGGAAGTTCAATTCATGATGAGGTTGGAAGTGCATAAATGTGGATACACAGATTTCAGTCAATATATAATCCCTTTAAAGGTCTTACACTCCTGCTAAAAATTTTTACAGAATTTGAACTTCAACATTTCACAGGCTCTTCTAAGAAGCCTTTGTATTTATATAACTCAGCGGGATTTTCATCCTAGAGTTCCTGCATGTTGACTTGCGTCTTTTCTGTAAACTTCAACAGATCTCAGCCTTCTAAATCACTATCTGTTAGCCTATTTTCTACTGTATATTACAGAAGGGTGCAGCCATTTCAACTCTTGATATCCCACTTTCTTCAATTCCAAATGGCTGCAGACTGCAGCCATCTTTTAGGCCCTTGTTTGGTATTTTTCTGCCGTAGACAACAATAAGTTTTAGGCTGCATTTGGTATTTCTTATTTTACGAATTATCTCTTTTTTGCACTTAAAAACTCAGTGTTTACAATTCCTTAAAATAAGGAAATGCAGCTTTAGTTCCTTGGTTTCTGTTGTAAATAGCAACAGATTATAATGCTAAGATGGAATTCACTTCTGCGTCTCACGTGGTACACCCCAAAAACGCCACACAGCACATCTCAATTGTGTATTAGGAACATCTCCCAATGACAAAGTAACAAGAGATGTTCTCAATGCATGCTCAGATGTTCTGTGGGGCGTTTTTGGGGTGTGATGGGTGGGGCACAGATGTGAACTCGCTAAGATGATGATTGCTTGAATTTTGATATCTTTGATCTGAACATGATTTTCTCATTTTCAGTCTTGGTTTGCAAAAACAAAAATTAAAAAAAAAAGAAAACAAAATCATGATGGTTGTGTTTTGTATTTCATTATCTTTTAATTTGCTTGCAGCATTTTATTACTAATTTGCAAAATAAAAAAATGAAGAGAAAAAGAGGACAAGAGAAGTAAAGTGAATAGAAACGTTGTGCATGATTATGATATAATTCTATTGTAGTTTAGTTTCTTTTTTTTTAAACTTAATTGATGATTCATTCATTTAATTATAACCCTTTTATTTTATTTTGTTTAATTCAATTGTATGTTTCATTTGTTAATTTAATAATAATATGTTTGATTTGATTTTATTACTTAATCTTAGTTTTCTATCAACCCATGAATTGCATGGGTGGTTTGTGAACAAACTTAGGACCCATTTGGTTCGTGGGAATAGGATTTAGAACCATTTTGATTCCAACTGTGAACCAAACGGACCGTTAAATCGGAATCGGAATGATCATTCTAAATTCTAATTCTTCGCTTGTTTGGTTCAGACGGGAATTGAAATCGGAATAAACTGAAATTAATTCTCACCATTTCGATTCCGATTTCAGACTCCTGTTCCCGCGAGCCAAACGGACCCTTGACCTCGAACTTCCTCTTTCCCCACATTAACTCGAATCTTCCTTTCGAAAAAGCCATCATTTCCACCAGCTGCCTCCTGACGGGCGACGGCCTTTGCGATAAAGATCCCATACTTTTACATTAATTTCTTCCATCTGAGATGATTCAAGTATGAGTGGAGTCGCTGCAAGACCACAGAACGGTGAGTCGTTTTGTTTTTGATGTTTGTAACATCTAAAAATGTAGGTGCTATGCACTTCTCGGATTTCATTTCCCCATGAACATGGTGGAGCCAATTGGATCCGTTTCTCTCTACTTTTGTTCCTTTCTGATCAGTTTGGAACTGCGTTGCATTCAACTACTGTTTATTTTTTCAGTTTGCTTTTTCTTCTCCTGGAATTACAATTGATTTCAATCAATGGTCGGGTTTTTTCTTTTCGCACTGCATCCTATATTAGATCCAACTTGTGCCAAAATTCTGTCAGGAATGTTTTGTAGCGAAGCACAAGTAGGTGCGTGAGGATGTGTGCTTATGCATCATATCCAATTGGGAGTAAGAAATCGCTTGGTGTAGGTTCTTAATCTATCCGTTTATGGCGGACTATCACTTTGTATACAAGGATGTTGAAGGAGCGAGTACACAGTGGGACGATATACAGAGAAAACTAGGTAACCTACCTCCCAAACCTGCTCCTTTCAAGCCTCCCGCCTTCACTCCGTCTCAAGACGAAGATTCGAAATCCAAAGACAAGACATGGATTGATGAGAAAACTGAAGAGGAGCTTGAAGAGCTTGAAGACGATCCTGATCTTGACGATGACCGATTCCTTGAAGAGTACAGGTTCTATATTATATCTTCAATCTTCTTATTTTTTATAATTTTATGGGACTTAGTAGAAATTAGGTTTCTCCTTTTCTTTTCTGATATGAAGAAATCAATTTTTATTTTTTATTTTTTATTTAATCGTCTTAAAGGAAGAAGCGGTTGGCAGAGATGAGAGAGGCAGGCAGGATTTCAAAATTTGGATCGGTGATTCCAATATCAGGAGCAGATTTTGTTCGGGAGGTGTCACAGGCTTCTCCAGATGTTTGGGTTGTGGTGTTTCTGTACAAGGAAGGGTAATGTGCCAGATATCTTTTTTTGCCTTTCCCTTTACCTGTTTTATGTGATATTTCCGGAATTTATCTGTTTTAACATTCTCTTACCCAAATTATTTTCGGAGTTGTTTAAAGTTGCTTTCTGTATCCTGTATCCCACATTGGTTTTACTTTTATTCACACTGTCTTGATTAAATTGTTAAAATTTTCTCCCAAGTTTTATCCTAGTAAAAATGGAGTTGGCCAATAATGGCCATCTTATGGAGACAATCGAAGTAATATATACAGGGATACCTTTATTAAGAGGCCTCGATGATCTCAACGATCCATAAGATTCATGGCCAAACCTCTCCAGATTATGGAGTTATTTCTCATCTTCTGAGGATAAACACCTTGATAAGACAAGTATTTGGCTTTTAACACTTTGACCCAAATAGCATGAGATTTGTTTATGAACTCCCAAGCCAACTTTGTCAAGTTAAATTTATTAATCAACTCAGCTAACCTGAGACCTAAACCACCATAGATTTGGGGGTACACATTTGCTGCCACGAAGCCCAGGACATTGTCTGAACCACCATAGACATAACCCCGATCACCTTCCTGACGCCACCAAAAAGCTCTCTGTATACCATCGTTCAACACTTTATTTGGATATTGTATAACAGGACATTGTCTGAACAGGAATCGCCTGAAACACAGATTTCATTAGGACTAATTTCCCAGCTTTGGACAAAGAACAGGCTTCCCAACTGCTTAGCTTGACTTGAAGTTTATTAATAATTTCCTGCAAATTAGATGGTTTGCTCCTGCTCCAGAACATGGGAATTCCTAGAGTATTTATCTAAGATATGATAGGGTTGGCTTTAACACCAAAAGCTCTCTCAAATTTCTAGGTGTTCACCCAATAATTAGGTTGACTTTAACATTTGATTCAATCTTGCTCCTACAGTATTTATCTACGATACTGTATTTGCTGATGGTAACTTAATACATATACATGTTTACATATCTTGTATGGCTAGAAGGCTAATTATTTTTTTAATGATATTGGATCCATCTTATCCTCACTCTTTATACAGGAGTATTTTTTTAGTTGATTTATGTTGTAATTTGTGGCAGAATTCCAGAATGTGGGCTACTTTTACGTTGCCTGGAAGAGTTGGCTTCAAGATATCCAGCAACCAAATTTGTCAAAATAATATCTACAGACTGTATTCCAAACTACCCGGATCGTAATCTTCCTACCCTATTGGTGTATAATAACAGTGCTGTGAAGGGAACATATGTTGGTTTGCATCATTTTGGTCGAAGATGCACACCTGAAGGTAATTTCCTGTTGAACATGCATTATGTTAACATTTTATTTAATTTGGGTATCTCTGGTTCTATTTGTCTAATGTTTTATGGGCTAATAACAGTTGTCAGTTTTAATTTACTTTGTGTTGTTGGCAGAGATAACTACACATAAATATTTCTATAAGCCTAATAAACGATTATGATTGTTTCTATATTCAAGTGAAAATAGAGATCAGAGATGAAATACAAAATATGATATTTTCACTCTAATCCTTGATTTAAAGAATCTTGTCAACTTGCAGTACAGTCACAATTTCAATTCTCTACAGCTTTGATCCTTGTATTAACTCTGTCAATCGTTATGATGTTTAGTGATCGTCATTTGTTTCTTTGTAAAATTTCAGGCGTCGCACTGGCTCTATGTCAATCAGATCCTGTACTTAACGATGGCCAGGGCGGAAGTGATCATCCATCACAAAAGGCTGTCATTGAAGGAGTTCGAAAGAGGTTTTTAGAGAAGGTTGTGGTAGAACATGAAGACGATGATGAGGATGGATACTCTAGTGACTAGAAGGGTTTCATGCAATGCTTAATGCTTTATGGTGACTTGTCATTTGTTCTAATCTGGTTTGTTCATTATTAGGACATCCCTGGTAACCCTCTTCAAATGTAAATCACTGATCGCATGTTTCCATAAATGCTTTCATTCATGTAATCACGTGTGGTGGGTTCAGCTTCTATTTGCCAATACATCAGATGCACATCTGGTAAATTCTATCACAGTGGTTTTTTTGATCGGTTATCTTAGAGTGGTTTTGATCCTTTACCAATGTCACTGAGTCTATCACAGATACTACTATTGTTTACAAAGGAATTCGCTTTAGGTTGTTTTCTTCCATTGCAAACATCAATACTGCTAACGTTATTGCTTAAGGAATCTGTCCTTCATCTACTCTCCCATTTATGGGAAGATGATCTCAGTGCACGCGGACAGGAACTCCAGATTTTCAAATGGTGATCGTACTGTGTAAGTTGCCCAATGTCTCGACCCTGTCCGACACCGATCTTAAAGAGGAGGATATTAGTATTACCAGTTTGGGTCTCTTTGAATTTTTTTTTTTTTTTAATTTTCGTTAAGTAATAATATGCCGAACCGTGTAACAAAAACTCGGTTTCTTTTCTAGAAGAAAAGTGCACAACAGAGAGTATACACATGAGCAGGCATATACATCAAGCACGTCACGTAGGTAAAGAATAGATGATGACATTGTTATGTGGAACAGTGGAAGAGACTGGGTAACTACACCGACTCTGAGCTACTTCAAAGAGGACCAGCGAAGGTTCCAAGTTCCCTCTGTTCATTCCACTTGTCAATCTGCACAAGCACAGTGAGTGATATTGTATAATAAGTCTGTATGTATGGACACATGACACAGCTCTTCTTTTCAAGATAAGTTTTACAGTGAAGTTTTGGTTACCCATTCGGAAGGACACAGTGATCGGTAGTAGCGGGCGAACTTCTCACACTCTGGCGCCTCATCTCCCTTTTCCCTGATACACCTGTGGTACTCCACATAGCGTGCAAAGCAATGGCGCGTTTGGTTTGTGGACGGGAATCGTATGTCTGCCGGAGCTGTCTTCAACGCCACCTGATGATAATCACAGGATCAGTAATGTTTTAGAGAGAGAGAGAGAGGACCTGAATTCGACCATCGGTGGGTGCTGGCGGAGCTTCAGAAATGGAACCGGGTTCATGGGGTGAGCGTTAAGCTTTTTCTCCTCGAGCCACACGACCAACATCTCTCCCTCTCATCTTCTCATGTGGGTCGATGGTCGACACAGACATGGTTTCCCACTTCCCTTTGAAGTTTGAACTTCAGCCGTCACCCTCTTCTTCTCAAGCTTGCGTTCAGGCTATATTCCCATGATCCCATCTTCAACGCTAAAGGACATGACACGACACAAACACTTGTCATGCAGAGCGTAAAGACGTGCCGATTCTCCAACTACATTAGGCTTTTAGGACAGCCTTGGAAGTTGGAACCATTACTCTTTCTATGTATTTAAGCCTAAAGGTGTAGCTCTTGGTCTTTAATTATATGAGATTGCTTCGTCGGCCGGCTCATGACTCATTAACCCAAAGGACAATACTCGAATAGTAATAGGATAATCCTCTATTGTCAGAATTAGAGATTAAGAGGATGAGTGCTAAGTGCTAACATATACACGCAAACGCATACTCAAAGGACGTTATACATCAAATTATAAGAGGCAAAGTAGTTTCTCTAACTTCCATTTGATCAAGTCATCAAGTGAAGATCCAAGGGTAAAACAGAAAAAAAAAATCAAATACACACACTCCCGCCAGATTTTGTTCCTGCTCACTGATAAGAAAATTTTACAATATTCAAAACTCAAAAACACGTAACTCAATCATTCCTTCTTTCCTCTTGGGAGAATACCAGGCCACAACTTTCCCCGAACGCAAGAGCCTCAATGAGTAAGTTAAGCTGTACATCATGTCTTCAACAATGGGGCCACGCTTCCCAGATGAAGAATCTAGTGAAAACTTTGAATCCACTCGAAAGAGGATTGGCCCCAAGACCTGCAGGGAAAAGGGTTACAAGTTACAACATTGAGAACATGGAACAAAGATACAGCCTTCCTGCTAACGAGAAAAATGAACTCGTGGATACAAAGTAATCATGAAACTACTTTTGAATGAACTTCTGTATAGTAGTGATTCTAAAATTTCAAGTGGTTTTAAAGTTACTTTTGTTTCATTAATTGCCAGAGCCGTTTTGATAATCTGGAGAGGTTTAACTCTCTAATTTCTCCAGTTTTCTATAAGCAAAATGGCTTCTCTGTCATCTCTAATGGCAAGCAAGATCCTCTACATATGTTAAATGTTCAATCCACTTTCAGTCCAGACAGGCAATTTGATTGGTCAAAACATAGAGAAAAAGAAAAACAACTAAAATGAATGACCATAGGCAGAGATGTGCTGCATTTCTTGGATAACTAGGATATAAAAAGAATCTGGTTAGGAAGGGTGAATATGGGCTCTAAGTGTATTGTGGTCACTTAATCTAGATATCACTGAAAGTGCTGTAAGTGTATTGTGGTCACATAATCATGGATGCCTGTCATCCTTCCATCCAAATGCAAGTACAAAGAGGGACTGGCTAGTAGAGTGAAGGGAACGTATACAAGTTTTCAAGAAGTTCTTTTCATGATAGGCAAATTAGTTAATGGTTATGCAACAGGATGGGTGAATATGGGCTTTAAGCGAAGGAATGTAAGATTGATGTCAGAGCCCGCCAACTCTGCAAGCTGGCATTTTTTAACTTGATTTGAAATTATATTGTACTTTAGAAAAATATATTAAATAAATAACAACAAAATAACTAGTTCCAACCTGATTATGTAATTTGGTTGCAGTTACGCTATCATATCAAGATGGGAACTGCATAGTAGAGCTGCTACATCCACCCCTTATAGATAGTCATTTGAATCCATCAAAAGACAGAAGATCTTCAAGGTCAGAGAATTAACATGGTTTGATTGGGTAGTTTGGCCAATATACACATTTTTTCTGCATCATACAGCTTTTTCACTTTTTTTTTTGATAAATGATACAGCTTTTACACTTTTCATTCTGTTGTTAATAGTTATTTAGCATTTATTTGTTTATTTATGTTTTACCTAGAAAGTAGTCATCAACATTCAAATGTGACTAAAATGTCATTTTTTTTTATGAATGACTAAAATGTCATTATAGCAGGGATGAATAACAATAATAGCAATACCTGCTGTTGAAAGATCACATTAAGTCTTGGGGAAGAAAGTGGATTCACTTCACTTCTGTTTGGAGATCCCCTAAAGATGCTAGAAACTAGATGAGCAGCACTTTTTGCAAAAGCTGAAGCAGAAGAAATGTCCAAGCGAGCATCTACTCGTGTCAGATCTCCATACAGTTTTCTGAACTTCCCATGTTGGACTGTGTAGCAGATTGAACCAAACATGTCTGTGCTCAATGCATTTCTCTTCCTGGCACTTGAAGTAGTAGCCTCCCCATCTCCTGATTGAGTCCTTGAATTAACAGTTTCTGAGATCTCCCTTCCCCCAAGCCAAGCTGTACAGGTACCACCTATGACAGTATATGTGAAACCCACTGGTTAAGAGTCTACAAGCATTTCTATAACATCAGCATAGCAAAAGTGACTAAGCAACAACATGGACCACGGAGAGTCCTCAATTTCTTATTTGGATTACTTAGTATGTCATTTAAGTGCTATAATGATTGTTTAAGTGTCAGATTGTCAATAACTTAAAGACAATATTTGAATGAAGCCTCATCATATAACTGATTAATCCTTAGAACGATCTCTTCAAATCCCCTAATGTTTATGCATAGTTCTTTCCTCCATAGAAAATACTTCACTAGCTATTTGAGGGAAATAATAACTAAGACACCAGAGTTCTGATTTATGAATTTCCAATTTTAGACAAACATTTAAAAACAAAAAGCAAGTGGATTCACCCTCAGAAATATAAATACTAAAATATCAAGTAAGACCTTTATAAATCTAGGTAAAGCCATCCAAAGAAGATTTAATGATAGGTTTTCTGCTTCCCTTGAATGGAGAGACTACCAAAGCATCAATCTGCTAGATAATGTTGAGATATATGGGTCATACTTTCCAAGGCACAATGGAGCGCCTAGTTGCATGGGCACCTACCTAGGCATTGCCTAGACAATAGAAGTTGACAACAAGAGAACCTAAATTCTGGGTTCATTCCTAGTTTTTTTCCTCCTTTCATATATCAACGACCAATCATACAAATTGAAAAATAGCCACCTTCTCATTCATATCAAAACAATGAAGTTATTATATTCAATAAAGAAAAGATGGCATTTAAAATATATTAAGTTCAATAAGACACAAATTCACAATGAATTAGTTGTGTTTTTATTAAGGCTGTTTATAATACCAGATTGTCTAGGCAAGTTGGTCATGATTGACACCTTTGATCCAATTTGAGAGGGAGTGGGAACAAATAGATTTTACATTATATTTATTCTTTCAAAATAAAATACTTCTCGAGGGCTTATCCTTTGCATCATTATTGATTCTGATTAACAATATTGTGGGGACCTATGGATGTTAGTGGGCCGGGTTGTTATGGGCCCGGGCGAAGGATCTCGTCACGGGTCGGTCCACGGGGAAAAGCTCCTGTTTTCCCTTGTTCCTCCCCTTCCTAGCTGAACCTATCTTGGCGTCCTAATGGGTGATTTGTCCAAGAGATCACCAAACTCTCCTTTTACTCTCTTTCTTGACT